AAAAATTAAAAAATTAACCTTTTTCATAGTTCCGCAAATGTCTCTAACTTTACTCTCTCTACAAGTTATACTCTACATCTTTTACCAAATGTCATATAGACTTGCAACATTTGCTACAAAATTTGATAAAAATTTTGCCCTAATTTGGCATTCAAGGATTGGGAGATTAAAAGGTTAAAATGGCTGTAAAAAGATAAAATACGTTAAAAAATTAGGCCAAATTTAGGAAGACTAAATAAGTGCACTTTTTGACTTTTTTATGAAATATGGGTTAGATTTGGGTTGGATTTGAAGTGATGTGTTAGAGAGGTGATGTGACTTAAATAAGATGATATGACTTAAATAGGATAATGACTTTTTGACTTTTTGGATTTTTTGGAGGATGCCAAACTTGGCCTTAATAAGACAAAAATATCACATTTAAATCATAATTATTTTACATTTTCTCTTACAGAAGTCAAAAAGTCTAACCCAAATGAGACATTTTAGCTGAGACTAAAATAAAAATGCTACAGATCCCAAATAATTTGTCAATTTTTTACCAAACCTCTCACATGGGCAATGCCCACACAAACTCACATGTGTGTAGATCCCATACCTATGTGAGATGTATGATAGAAAATTTGATAGATTATTTAGGGTCCATAGCATAACATGAATAATGTTAAGGATATAAAGTTTTCTACCAAATAAATAACCAAATGTCTTGCATGGGTGCGGGGTCCGCAATTTGAGACTTATAACATTTTCCAGCATAACTGCATATATTTTTTACACATTTTTTTGTAAAAAGCTAAAAATTACTAAAATAAAATGTTTCCAAATAAGGCCAGCCAAAAAACCAAAAAATTAAAAAGCAACACAGTCCCCAAACGAAACCTTTGTAGTTTGTAGTATTTTTCTTCAGCAATGGTTGGTGGCCCGAAAATATATGGCTCGAATGGCTCAAAACACCCAAAACGACGTCCTTTTGGTTGTAAAACAATATCGTTACACCCAAAACGACGTCCTTTTTGTTGTAAAACAACATCGTTTTATAGAATTCGGGCCATTCTAGCCACAGAATTTGGGCCACCGAATATTATTCATTTTTCTTTTACCAAATATTAGTGAATCACAAGGTTTCATTTGGAATATGAGTTGACTTTTGGCTTTAGACTTTTTTAACTATTTTAATTTGGGGTTAAAATAAGTTCGTTTAGGATGAACTTTTTAACTCTTTTAACTTTTATAAAAGAAAAAATGAAAAAATTATAATTTATATATGACAATTTTCAATCTGAGACTAAAAAATTTATTTTATCTTTTGATAACTAAAAAGCCCTAATATAGGGGTGTAAATTTGACCTAGTGTCACGACCCAAACCCGGCCCTATGGGTTTAGCGCCGTAACCGGCCAGTAATCCGAGATTACCGAAGGCCTGCCTAACAGTAAACCAGTAAAACAGAGTACAGGGCCTGGCGGAAGCCAATATAGTAAATGAACAATGTCCAATGAGCTGTGACAGTCTACACATACATGCACAATCATTCAGAACAAGGATCTAATCCCTATTAAACGGTACAGTAATAGTCTATACAGTAAACAAAACAGTTACACGGACAGACAGGGAATATTAGAACACCCCAAAGCCGAAGCTTGAACGGCTTAGAACCTCACAGTGAGGCACAGTGGTTGGCTGACAAAACAAAAACTTGCCTGACGCTCCTAGCAGCGGTCCAGTGCCTGAACACCTACATATGTATATGTGCAGTGAGCTAAAGCCCAGTGAATAACATAATACGTAAAGAGGTTTAGGATGAATGTCTTTTCAATATTTAAACAGTTCATTGATTCAATATATCGGCCAGTCAGTTTGTGGCTCACATTGATGCCGTAACAGTAATTTAGAAATCATAGTAATCGTACGTGGCACATCCGTTAGCAGTACTAGTAGCAGTGTCAGTACAGTAGCAGTAACGGTAACAATACAGTAGCAGTACAGTAGCAGTAACAGTAACAGTAACAGTACAGTAGCAGTAACAGTAACAGTAACAGTAACAGTACAGTTCTTATGGATTCAAGAGGTGTCTCGCACAGATTCTAGAGGTGGCTCACTTTGTAGCACTTAGTTCCGTGCAGCACTTTGCTCCAAGTTTCACAGATTATAACAGTCATATGTGGTACATCCAGTAGCTAAACAGTACAGTAGGTCTTAACAGACCAGGTCTTAATAGACCAAACAGTGAATGATGGCCATCATATCAGTAAACAGTAGTGGTTCCAACATGGGAACCGACAGAGATCTCTGTAACAGTAGTTGTCAATAACAGTAGTTGCTAAGGATGCCACAATACAGTTCAGAATATAGGTCATACATTCATTCATTCAGTTAACAATAACAGTTCAGAACACAGTTCAGTTTAATTGTTCAGAAGATAATCAGTTTGAACATATCTTTACACAAATGTTACTCACAGAGTTCTGGGCTATAGTAAGCTAGAGCGTGTCTCCCCAGTCGCCAACCCTACACAGTTAACAGATTGAACACACACTAAGCTACACAGTTGGGAAAGATTAACAACTTAATCCCTAATGTCTCGGCGTGTTCTACATCTATATCCTCAACAAGATGTCTTAAACTAGGCCTAAGAACGCCTAGAATGGGATGAGGATGCAAAGATGCACTCAGAAAACATTTTCAGAAAATCAGAGTTCCCGCTCGAGCTTGGGTTTCCCCGCTCGAGCGGACATACTGACAAAGGTCTTCGCTCGAGCGTACATTACTCCGCTCGAGCGGACTGTAAAACGGTGCAAGATGCTGGGAGCTCGAATTCCACGCTCGAGCGGCACTTCCCCCGCTCGAGCGGAAGTGCGAAATCTGGAAAACCCAGATTGCACCTCCAAGCTCAAAACCAAGTTCAAAAGCATCAAAACTCGACCTCTTGGGCTAAATTTCCAGAAAACATTTGTAAACTCATAGTATAGCATGTTTCAAAGATCAATTTGAGAAATCAAAGCCCAAAGGTAGTTCAATTAAACATGATTTCAAACCAAGTTTCAAGAACAACAACTCAAATGTGACATGCATGATCTTAAATCATCTTCAAAGCTTTAGTGCTGTTTCAAAAGAGCTCAAACCTTCAAAAACAAGATGAACTCATGGAATATGACCAAAAGATGGACATGCATGTGAGGTATTATGAACTACAACCTCAAAACTTCAATATATGTACACGCATGCAACCATTAAGCTTTAATTCAACAACAATGAACCAATTCATGACTTAGTTCTACAATGAAGCACGAATCATGCAAGAACAACTCAAAGACACCATTAAGATGATGAATGATCTACCTTAGGTGTAGAATTAGAAGTGAGGGAGCTTAAATTAGTAATCAACCTTCGATTCTTTAAGCAATTCTAGCCAATTCACCATGAAACAAGTTGAACTCAACTCTTCTAGCTCCTCTCTCTCTCTAAGGTCGGCTAGAGCATCAAACAAGGCTGAGGAAATGTTTGTTTCCAGTGTGCACAAGGCTCTAATATGTTATAATAAGAGGCCCACTAACAATGGCAATTTGGTAATTAAGCCTAACTCTTTAATTAGCTTGTTTTAATCTAATTTAGTCATACCTAATCAGTTTTCAGGTAAATACACCATAACTCACATTGATTATGAGGATTATAAAACATTAATCGATTCCCGGTTCGGCCGCCGATAAGGCCTTCAATTAGCAGTTTAAACATAAAACATGAATAGATAATCAAACAATCAAACAGATAGGTTATGCATTTAAACAGATACAGTCAGTCAATTAATTCCAGACTCCAGTTAGTCAGTTCAGCACTTTTAATCAGCTCAATTATCAGTCATGATCAATTCAGTTTAACAGTAATCAGTCAGTCATTAGTTGGTAAACAGTGTTTAGTCGGTAAACAGTGTGAGGGTTATTACAGTCTCCCCTCCTTATAAAGAGTTTAGTCCTCTAAACTCGAGTTAACATACGGCAACAGAGATAACGCCTAACATAACAGTAACTTTCACTCTTTAACAGGAGCATAATCATATTCATAACAGTTTCATGACCCAATCTCAATCTTAGCAGTGCATAGAAATAGAATCATAAATCGCATACAGAGATTAGGGTCCGAATTATAATGGAGTCTTAAACGTAGTCAGGTTTTAGAGTCAGGAATAGATTCGGATACAGAGCAGAAGCTGAGCCCTCGTAATGAGGCCTCCGGTACGGGTAACAGAGTGCAGACAAATATAAGTTCCATAAGGAACCTCCAATACCGGGCAGCTAACATATACCACATAATATTAAGAGTCACGAATACATATCAGAGGTTGACCCCTTAATCAGTATACAACATATAGCATTTCAGAAAACAAAACTTATTTCGTGACACAGAACATGAATACAGTTGCACACAACTTTACTGTAGTGGTAATCACACTACTTATATCAAGTACTTATCGGGGTTATAGATTGCACTAGCCTCATTTCATAAGTAATTTCCCCCGTTAAGTTACAGAGATTCGATTCATTCACTTCTGAGTCATTCATCCGATCTTTGTTTAATTTGTCCTTAATTCGGTAATCCATCACAGTCAGTCCAGTTCATTTGGGAGTTATTGGAAACATAAGGCGAATTTGTACATTACTCCCATTACAGTAGGCAGGGTTCTGAAGTAATCACTCACATACTATTCATCAGTTTCAGTTCTCACAGATTCGATCATACTATGTATCAATACGGAAACAGTCATACTGATTTCATATACTTCCAGATAGTGAGGGTTTATAATCAAGTATAAGTTATTAATTTTTTAACTAATTTAATAATTTTTTAATTTTTTAACTAAAAATGAAAATTTCCAAACAAGTATTTAAGGCGTATTCAGGCCGTAGAAAGACCACAGGCCGGCCAAGAGCGGCGGAGTCCAACTTCAAAATGATGGTTCAAACCCATACTCGGGTCCCAAACTATGCTCAGGTTTGAACCTAATCAAACCTAATCGAACCGGACTCACCACATGCCCTAACATAACCCCAACCCACATGCCAAACGGGCACTAACCCTCCCGCACCTTTCAATCTACCTTTCTTCTCTGCAACGCAAGAGCTCGACGACGATGGCATCAATATCAGCAACTGGGTTGTTCTCCCCAAATCGACCCCTCTCATTCCCCCCAAAAATCTCGAATAAATCCCACAAATCTCCATCTTTCGTTTCATTCCAAGGAGGACCCAGATTAGTTCCTCAAAAATGGGCAGTTAAAGCCTCAGCCAGTGGGTCTCCTCCGGGACTCTACTCGGCCAAGATTTTCGAACTCACACCTCAGAACGTTGACATGGTTCTTGAGGACGTTCGGCCTTACCTCATCTCCGATGGTGGCAACGTCGACGTCGTCTCTGTCGAAGACGGTGTCATCTCTCTCAAACTCCAAGGTTTGTTTATTTCTGGCCTATTCTTTCATTGTTTTATGGTTTAATCTAATTGAATTGATTATATTCATCTTATTTTATTTCCAAATGAACATTCAATTTTTGTTAGTATTGGTTTTTGAGCTTGCCTGATAGATACTATTCAATTAGGGCGTCTTTATTTTTCTTTTTTCATTTTTGCTTCTGGGTTTCAATCAGAACATTGTAGAAAACATCATCATGGTAATTGATTGTTTTTAACTCGGGTTTTTTGAAAACTATGTCTGAGACAAACAAAATGAATTTTAGTTTTATTTTCAGTTTTATGGGAAATTAAGAAACAATGTGCGGATAAAATGAGTGCAGCTGAGATTAGAATGGTTAGAGAGATGTGTGTAGGAAAGGTAGAATTAGAAATGAATGTATTCGTGAAATTAGAAATAAGACCTATTGAAAATAGGAAAATTAGATACAAATCCATTTTATAGACCCACTTTCTACAATCAGTGATGTGTAAAAGGGGTGATTGGCTGATTGTTAGAGAAGATATGAGAGAAAGTTGTCTCGGATGTTCTAAGAGATTGCCACATCAGTGGGTTTGAAAAATGGGTCTTACTTTTTGGCCTGAATTGCACTACTCTTGAAATAAGTTGAAAGAAAACAGGCTAAGGTGATTTGGCCATTTACAACGAAGATCATAAATGGAGATGTTAGGGAGAGGGGAAGATCTAAGCTAACATGGGATGCGATAGTAAAAAAAGGATATGAATTGATTTAATTTGACTTATCATATAGCCCTTGATAGAATACAATGGCGAAAAAGGATTCATGTAGCGGACTTCCCTTGATTAGGATACAAGGCGTGGTTTGATATTTTATGTTTTCTATTATTCTCTGAAAGTAGAAAATTGTTTTTGAAAACTCTCCCAAACACAATCAAAAAAGTTTTATGAGCTCTTTACCTTTGGAATTGCCTCCTATGTCATGCAATAAGAATACGGACTAGGAGATTTGCAGTGAAAGATTTAGGATGAGTGTGATGCGTGCACTCGATGAAAATCTTTTAGGCATACCAATTTCAATTTTGCATTTTCTGCTATGAAGCACGGACACGGACACGGGACGGGACATGACACTGATACGGGGACATGCAAATTTTAAAAAAATGGGGGACATGACACGCTGGGGACACGTTTAATATATATAATTTTATTTATTTATTATATGTCTAAAATAAAAAGAAAATCATTAATTTTTATACAATTACAATAATAATAAAATTAATAAACATATTTTTTAATTTTTTTTAATAAAAAATGAGTTTTTTTAAATAAAAATAATTTATTTTATGAATTTTAGGTTTAACAAAAATAAAGATAAAAAAAGGAAAAAAGAAAAAAAAAGAGAGGGAAGAAAATAAAGGAGGAGAGAGAAATAGAAAAAGAGAGAGAGAGACAGAAACGGATGAAATAAAAAAGAGGGAAAGTGAATCAGCAAAGGGGGAAAGTCAAATGAGAGAGAGAGAGAGAGAGAGAGAGCAGAAGTCGAAGCAAAGGGAGGAGAAGAAGAAGGAGAAGAAGATGGAGACAGAAGACAAAAAGGATGAGGCGAAGAAGAAGATAGCAGACGAATACCTCAGCTTCTTCAGTTGATGTGAACAGGTTAGGGCTCCTCTCCTCTCCTCCCTCGATCTCTTTCTCTGTCTCCTCTCGTCTCCTCCCTCAATCTCTGTCTTCTCTCCTCTCTTGATCTCTTTCTCTGTCTCTATTTCTCTTTCTCTGCTCCTCTCCTCCCTCGACCTCTTTCTATTGTTCTCTCTTTCTCTCCAACAGTTAGGGCTTTGATCCACCTCAGACGTGTCCGGAAAGTGTCACAGTGTGTCCATGGCGTCTCCGATTGCAAAAATTCAAAAAAAAAAAAGAGGACACGTTACAGAGATGTCCGTGTCCGGTACGTGTCCGACACTTGTACGTAGGCCCTAGGAACGTGTCAGTGCTTCATAGATTTTCTGTAAGCGTTCAAGTATTAAAGCTGACATTAAGTCCGTAACGACTTTGTCCTGAAGATGTTCATGAAACTAGATCTTTTGCAAATCATAAACACAGAGATGATGTAGATTTTAGAGCCTTCATGTGTTGAATTTTAGATCCCATACCTCAGATGCAATGAATAAAAACAAAAGAGGAAGAATAAAACAAGCATGCAGTTGAAACTTCCAACTAACTCAAAAACTATCATACTGTATGCAGCTGAGGCATCCAAAATCATCTAGATGATGTAAGTTTGCTAGACAGCATGACACTTGGCACTGTTGATGAGATACCAAGAATTTGGTGATTTATGTTATTCCTGTGACACTAGATGAGTATTTTTCTAAATTCTACTGTCCCACTTATCAGAACATACATTATAAGCAAAACCAGGCATGCGTAAAGCTTTCATTCATTAAACATGTTTGCAACCACATCCCATTTCAGCTGCCAATCAATGCCATGATGGCTTTAAGATGACAAATAAACCATTGCTAAATTTGTGGTTTGGAATGAATCAGAAATGGCTGAAACTTGAAATTGTTGAGGTGGGTGACCAGTATAAACTCGAGAAAGTTTGTTTCCCCTCATTGTCTGAACTAGTCATTAAAATTTGTTACTCGTGTTCCTGAGCGGTGTTTCTAGGGTGAAAATGGTCATTAGATTTTCAACATAATTATACAAAGTCTGAGTGGTGTTTCAAATTTTGAGCCTTGCAAATTCATTTTTTGTTGTCAACTGGCTAAGATTTCGATGGTAAATGGAAAACAGGAGCATGTGGAAGCTGCCCTAGCTCAACAACTACCATGAAAATGGGGATTGAACGAGTACTGAAGGAAAAATTTGGAGATGCAGTCAAGGATATTCGCCAAGTGTATGATGATGACCACACAAGTGAGACAACGGTAGACGTAATTTTTTGCTAACCTGAGCTACGAAGGGAGTAAAAACAATACCAAAATATCTTGAATTTCATCCATTGATAGCAATAATATGAACTACGTTGAAATTTGGGAGTGATTAGAATTTCCTGCTGTGTAAATGTAGGCGGTGAATGGCCATCTTGATATATTGAGGCCAGCCATAAAGAACTATGGTGGGAGTGTGGAAGTATTATCTGTTGAGGGTGGCGATTGCCTTGTAAAGTATGTAGGGCCTGACTCCATTGGATCTGGAGTCAAAGCAGCAATAAAGGAGAGGTTTCCAGACATTACAAATGTTGTGTTTACTGGTTAGGCTGCTGTCAATCTTGGAAGCTCAGGGAAGTAGATGACTGGATTTTCGAATATTTTTCATGAGAGGGGGATATATTAAGCGCCACGATAGAACTTCAATTCCAATGTCTCAGTGTATTTTACCTTCTGTGTGTGACAAACATGCACACGTGTGTAAATCCTATATTCACAATGTATAGTCACTCTGTCATCAGTGTGTTGGCTTTGTTCCTTGATCAATAAAATCACTTGTTATGCGTCATTTCAACCATGTTTCTCTTAGCTTCATCTTGGTGTGGAGTCTCTAGTCATTGCTCTAATTGTTTTGTTTCTTTTGATGGGACAAATGAAATATGAAATCATTTCGTTTATCTTCTTGAAGGCATTATATGATATCCCAATTTCTTGCTTAGAAGTAATGGAGATTTTGAGAACAAAACATGATTTTTTAAAATAACAATTGGCTAAATTTTGTCTATTTAAAGTCTGGAATAACAGGTATCGCATGACTTGTCAGCTGTATGAAACTCCAAACAGATTCCATGTCTGAGTGGGGCTGTAGACCTAGCCATTTTAGCTGGAGATAATAGCAGCCACTAATTTAACATTAAAATGCATTAAAAATCACAACCTTGGGTTTTATGCTTAAAAACAAACTAAATTCTTTTGAAACATATTATATTTTAGTATTTACATCAAAGAAACTTAGCTAAATTCTTTCCAAGCAGTCTGTATTACATCAAAGAAACTACTCTTAAGGATGAGTAGTTAATAAGTGTTTCACTATTCTCAACATTTGTTTACATTGTAATTAATTAATTAAATTCAAGTTTCTTCTATATACTGTTGTAATTAATTGATCTTCTATTGATAATTAAGATTTTCTGAAATAAAATAGTTTAGAATAGTAGAACCAAATTGGTATTTGTACTTTAGTTTTGGTTTGATTACATAGCTTCAATGGCTGGTTCTAGTTTTAATTTTTTAAAATCATAAGAAGCGGTTTAGTCCCATGATCACTTTAAAATCAAACCAATCCGATTCATGACCACCTCTATTGACGTTAACAACGTTCAAAAATCAACAAGGGAATATGAGTCTGGGGTAGCACTCTCGGCATGAAGTTTGGTGGTATTTATTGTACTATATCAGTTAGGATTTCAATGTGAGAGTGTGAAAGCATTGTAGACTAAAATGATTCAGAGCTCTATAATTATTGCTTAGAATGGATTTGATCTCCTATCATTTGTTGACGTAGACACATTATTGAACCTTGTATATATATATATATCTTATATATCTTGTTTGCAATTCCATTCTAGGCTTCTTAGCTTGACAAAGTTTGGTTTTGGTAAGATTGTGACAATTGTGTTTGTGTATAATGGATTTGATCTACTTTGACTCAAAGACGTAGCATATTATCAAGTTACGTATATATTGTATTCTGTGTACTTAGTTTATTTATATTACTACTTTATAATTGGATTGGTTTCTTGAACAGTCCATTGGACTGGATATCAGCATAACAAATGACATGAGGTTAATAGAATAATTCAGCAGAAATCATCAAAGAAATCAATGTAACGACGTTCTTACTGTCAATCACCAAAACGACATCAGTAATATTCCATCAATTCTTCTTTCTCTTTTGTTTTCTTTTCCCCTACTAGAACGGCAAGACATGAGCTAATTCTCAAGTCCTTGTATGATTATTTTGTTTGGCCTTAATTAAGCCCATTGGCATTGGGATTAAAAGATAAGAAAGCACTAACCCCCAGTTAAGATTAAGTCCAAAGACAAACATCTAATTAAGTAGGATCCAACTAACTAGGTCAAATAGTCTAAAGACCACAACATACATTCTTTTCTTGTTCTTTTATATCCTTGTGTTCTCATATTGAGAAAGAGTAGCGATATATAAATAGTATTTTTATGCGGAATGATGTGTCTATTGTGGCTTGTAGTTTCAAAAGTATTGTTGATATATCGTTTGAATGAGTTTCTTTGTATGAAAATACTTGGGTTTGTTTGGAAAATGGCTTTTTGATTTTTTTGATTAAAATATAAGGTGAAAAAAATTAACATATTTGAAAAGGATTTTTTAAATTTTTACGAAAAAAATATGTAAAAAGTAGTGTAAATGGGAAAAATCTTTGGCTTTGTAAATTGAATGAGAAGAAATATTTGACCTTTTTTGTATGAGTTGAAAATCTTTAGACGATTTTAATAATTTTTTGACTGAAATAGTTACTTGCCAAACGTAGCCTGATAGTAAATCATTTTTTGTTAGAAAAATAGGCAGAGAAACTCCAATTAAGACTTGGTCCAAGGAAGAGCTTCTAATTAATAAAGTCCAACTCCAATTCCAACTACATATGGCAAAGGTTTTTTTGTTATTGTCATTTGTTCTTTGGCTTTACTTGTTTGTCTCCTTCTCATATGTGCTCTTGTGTTTCTTTGTTGGTGCTTAACTGTCTGGTGACTGAGACACTGAAAGTTAAATAACTACTAATTTATTTAATTTTTTTGTACTAAAGAAATTCAACATGTTACAATAATATTTTGGGTTTTGTTGTGTTTCATAGACAATGCTTTTATGTAAAGTGACTGAGACTATTGTTAGATGAAAGGATTCACATTGTTGTTCAAATCGAATTTCTAGTCATAACTGACGGTTGCATCTGATTTTTTTTTTTTTATAAATTTTTTTATATGATTTATTTACGTTGTGTTTGATTAAAGGATTTTGGAAGGGATTTGAAAAGGAAAAAAGAAAGGTAGGTGAAATGTAAATAAAATATACTTATTTTTCACCTAATTTCACACACTTTTTTCTTTCCTCTTTCTATATCTATTTCCAAATCTCCCAACTAAACACAACAAACTTTTTGAAATGAGATCACAAAATTATCACTAATTTAAACTCACCACTATTATCGTTTTCGACTTCCTTCCCTGTTTAAGCATAATTTCTCTAAAAATTAATAAGTAATATATAGTCTAATGACTTGTTTAATGGTTCCACTTTGGCTTCCTAATTAACTAATTTACAAAATTATGAATCACCTAATTTGATTTTATTGCAGCTGGCTGGGACAGTACACATGCAATCAGTGACATAAATATGTTTTAGAGGCTTGTGCCAAGTGGCAAGGAAGGAGGAATTTAAGACCCACTTTTACTTTTTTCACTATTACCTAACATATAATAATTTGCAAGGAAATCACTTTTTATTTTTGCTCATTTAAAAAAATAAAAAAACCTACATTACATTGCATATACAATATTAATAATAATGGAAGGTATTGTCCTCTGGTTTTCATGTTCTATATATCGGCCGGCTTTGTCCATGGAAAGTAAGACATGTATTCCTAAAATTTAGGATTGAGAATGATCGATCAATAATATGATATTTGGAAAATACTATTCACTTCATTTTTGTATATATTTTATTATTTTATTTATATATCTTTTACTCATAGTTTTATGTGTGAATTTTGTAAGTCATTAGGTTTAAAGAGCAAAGTTATTGAAAACAATCTTCCTGTGTGGGTAATGTTAGCAATCTCTAAAATAACACTTTTAAATATATTTACATGACAAGAGATCAAATCTAAGTTAATTGATTATTAAATAAAATAACATGTAGGAGTCCATGTCATTGGAGATAAATTTAGAAGTCTTAGCATTTCTATTTTCATGCCATACAAATGCCATACAAATTGACAGAAATGCCAGAAATCTTTAAAGCATATATTTAAATTTACCTGTAATGATGTGGTAGGGGTTGATATGATTGATTTGAAAACCAATTAATAATTGCAATAACTTAAATACAACGGTCCATATCATGATGTGTATTTAAAAATCATAATTTAAAAGTTTCAAGTTTCTTTTTAAGTTGGAATTTATTTGTTGAGTATTATTAAAATTTGTTGGATGGGGTTTTTTTATATATTTTTTTAGGGGCAAAAGGTGGAGGACCAACGACATATTTTGCATTGTTGACAATAATTTTATGAACTATTTGCTCTTCTTATGGGTGAAAGTAACAAAAGTACTGTTGTAGTTTGGTGAAGAAAAAAAAAATCCTAAATTTTGTTTTTCATACATTGTATTTGAATTTTAAATTTGATATATAAAAAGAAGAGAAATAGAATAGAAGCAAAAATCTTTTTTTCATCTTCTTTATGGGACATTTATCTCGTCTTATAATTTTATATTCATGAATTTAAAATTTAAACATAACAACTAAATCAAATGCACAAAATCTTAATCGACCTTGTCCAAATTTTCTAATGTCGAGAAACAAATACCAAAAAAGTTTTTTAAGAAAGTGTACAATATAAAATGTTGTGCAAAAACTAATACTTTACAAATATGAATATAGTATTGTGAAATTATATTTTAGTAAACTAATGGGTACCAGAAATTTTTTGCCATGTAATACTGTGCCTGTTTGGCAGAAATTATTTATAGCTTATTTCAGCTTTCAGTTTAATTTAAGCTATTTTGATGTGTTTGGTTTAGCTTATAGCTTATACCTTATAGCTTTGTGGAAGTCAGAAATCAGCTTATTCTTTGAGTGGGGCAGGAGATGCTTTAAGAATAAGCTGGAAATCAGCTTAAGCTGAAAGTTATAAGCTATAAGCTGTTTAGGCATAAACTATAAGTACTTTCCCATAGCTCTACCAAACAGGGCTACTCTACCCAATTATTTATTATCAGACACAAATATAAATATGATAACTCACTATTTAAATTAATCATAATAATAATAAAAATAAATAAATAAAATCAAGTAAGCAAGATTTTTTAGACATGCAATAATGGATAATTTTACAAATTCAAAATTATTACTTAAAATTTTATCTAAAAATATAATGTGTGACTCATATTTATTTTAACTATATGGCCCGTTTGTACCCTTGGAAGGGGGATTGGTAAGGAGGAGGTAGAGATGGTATTAGAAAATAGTGAGGGGATTAGAAATTTTTCTATTTTTTATATATTGGGAATTTTTTTTTTAATATAATGTTTAATTTTTTATATTATTTTATTTATTTTATTATTTTATATAAAAATAATTTAATAATTCCTCACTATTAATCTCCCCACTATCAATCCCCTCATTATAAATTCTTTCCATCTGAAAATAAACGGACCTATGCGCTCCAAAACACACTAATTTAATCCTAACCATTGTTTTCCTGATCCCTAAAAGTCTGGAATGTAGACTTTTTCTGCAATAATTGCACACATTTTTTAAAT